GGAATTGCACCGGGACCCTCCGTGCTACCCTGCTGTAGCTCTCAGAAATAGGGTTAGGGTGGAAAACTCACGCAGGGTAGCACGGAGGGTCCCGGTGCAACTCCGGACGGCAGAGGTTCAGTCTCTGGTGACGGGCAGGCAGTTTTACGGCGGCGGAAGAAAAGAAAAGGTGAGGGCGAGGCGGAGACAAGATTTTTCAGCTGGTATAGCCAAAATGTCTTGCTCACTCCTCTTTCCCTGGTTTTCCCAAATTTCTCTTCAGCTTTTATAGTGTTCAAGGAGGTAGCCTGTGGTGTTTTGGCACGTAGCTCTGTTCAGATGTTCACAGAGATATGATAAGAATGGACAATACCAGGATCCTTTGGCAGGAAAACTCCCGTGGGAAGACTCTAGTGAGAAGTTCTGGTGAAAAACTGACACAGGAGTTTTGGTAGGAAGTTTTTGACAGGCAGAAACAATGGCGAAACATAATTTTTGGCATTTGTATGTTATCTGTCTGTTAAAGGGGGGGGCGGGCCGGCAATGGCGGGGCGGGGCTGACCAAAGGGGACAGCAGCCCTGTTTCCTGGGACAGAAAGCTTGTGAGGTTTGGCTTTCAATGTGCAGTGTGTGGCACAGCCTGGGCACTCCGTGGGCAGCCAGGGCTTTCTGTGCTGGCACCTTTTCCCTGAGAGCAAAGTGCAAGTAGGGTTCCTTTTTTTGCTTTTTTCTTCTGCCACCCTTCCCCCCCAATTTTTATGAATTATTTTGTCACTGTTCTCCATTCAGGAGATTGGAAGAAATTCTAACTGTTGTGATTATGGCTCTTTGAAGGCTCACTGAGCGCACCCTTTGAATGAAAGAAAGAAGATTAGATCTTCTAAGAAGAGTAAAATGCTCACTTCGGGTAGGCATTCAGAAATGTCTGCTGATGCCGTGCTACTACCATGTTATCAGCAGAAGTGTGATGGAAAAACGCCCATCAATGACTCCACAAAAAAGGCACAATCGGGCAGGTAGAGAACAGAAACATAAAACCCCAATTATATCTTCATGACTGTAGGAATGAAGTTGTAAGATTTGCACTGGGAGCAAGAAATTTCTGAATTCTTGGTCATAGCACTAATGACTTGTAACAGAGTGTCTCCTTGCTCAACGTAAATTTAGTATAATGAGCTGCTCCCTGTTAAAGTGCAGGCTGACAGGCTGATATTTGCAGTGGCAGGCATGTTGTGTGGTTTTCCTTTGCAAAAGAAATTGCCTGTCTTCTTCGCTCAGAGCAGTCTAGATAGGTGCCCAGTCTGACACATCTTTTTGAACTATATTTCAAAGTATGTTGATGATTTACATGATGATGGTGATGGTGATGCAGTAAGATTGTGTAATGAACAAGAAAGCAGTTAATGCATCCATCCTTTTTACCCTAACCCTGCTGCTGAATTCTCCTGGATTCTCATTGACCCCAAGGAGAAACACAGTGCCCAAGCTGATGGGAAGAGCAATGGGCAGATAAAGGCTATTTGCACATTTCTTACTAGTTCCTCCTTGAGATTTCACAGATTCTTATCCCTTTTAGGCATGGTATGTTTGTGTTCGTAGTTTGCATGCACTAAATCTAGCATGTATTGCTTTAATGCCATCATAACAGATTTGAAGTTGGGGTCAAACCACACTAGATAATTACTCAGTTCAGTTCATGTCAGAAGAAGCAACGTTGATTCTTTGAATCATATTCTTTGTAGTTAAAACGATACTTATGTTCACTTAAATGTTACATTTTACCACTTAAAGTGAATATTATATTATTATGCTAGTCCCTCTTCTTACACATTTAATACAAATCAAAGCTTTATTCTCTTCTTGTTTCAGAGAACCTACAACATCTCCCAAGGCCTGGAGAAATGTAGATACAAGTTCAACTGAGGAAGTCAGAGGCCTACCTGATGTAGTTGGTAAAATTGTTTTCCCTAATGTCAGCTATTTAAATTTGCATTCATAGGAGACACTATACATGTAACAGTTTTAGCTGAACGAGGTATAAAATCAAGCTCAGAAATGACCTGGCACGTTTTTGATGATTTGTAGGTAATTTTGAAGCTGAAGAGTCTCCTCCTAGAAAAAAAAAATGGTTGTGAAATTGTCAGTCAATCACAGCTTATGTTTGGATGATAAATTCCAGTTCTGATGTAAGCAGATCTCATTCTTGAAATGATGCAACTTCTTTGCATCATACCTGAGCTTTAGTTGATAGCTTCCATGATTTTATCCTGAAAATCACAAGTTAATAAGAGAGGTTTTAAAATGTGCTCAAGTATTTTTAACCTCCGTTTGCAAAGATTTCCCTTCCCGTGCTGCACACTGCACAAACTGCAGCAGTCATAGTGTGGATTTAGGGATTTATTCTTTGTGCATCCCGTGTTCTGCAGCAAGAGTTCCAGGCTCCAGCATCCTCATTTCTTTCTTGGCAGTTCCTGAGGAAAAAAGCAGCGAGACCTTGAGATGTGTGGCAGAACGACGGCAAAAGCGTCACGGTCAAGCAGTGACCAAAATGCAGCAGGAGCTGGACTACATTGGCAAAGTAAGGCAGGATTTTTTAATCCAGGTAGTCTAGAGTGCTATTGTAAGGTCAGGGCCCAATATTCAAGTGATCACACTGAGTTCCTTCTCTTTTTAGGAGATGGAAGCCTCTGTTTCGGAGCTTCAAAAATTCCTTCAACTAAAAGTGGTGAAATCTGATGAAAAAAGTGAACTTCTGTTCGAAAAGATTGTGTCTGACACGGCTCTAGAAGGTTTCTCCTTTGAAGTAAGGCAGCTCAGAGCATTGGCTCACCTTCAGTTATTTTTACCTGCTCTGTGTAACAGGTTCTCATGGCTCACTGGAGTCTTAAGATCTGTTTTCTTTTTTTAAATTTTTTTTTTTTTTTTTACATTTACTTTTCAAAGAGATTGAGACTAAATTCTTATTACAGGGTTTGGAAAAACTGTGGAATATGATTCACCAGGAATCCTTGAACAGAAAGAAGTGGATTAGGACAATGGATGAATCCCTAAAGAAGATGGAAAGGAGTCGAGCCTCTAAAGTGAGATGCAGCCTTAATAACTGTTACTTAAGGATAAGATTATGATTTGCTGATAATGCTGGATGCAGAGCAAAGAGTAACTTGTTTCCATAGGAGTCAGAGATCTGCCAGTAATTCTGCTGTGTGGTGATTGCTTTCTTTTCACCAGTAGACCATTCAATCATTTTATACCTGCATAATCAGAAGAAAATACTTTTTTTTCAGTTCCAAGGTGTTTCTTTCTTGCACAATTATCTGTACTAAAGGTGAGCTGCTTTCATTTTCGTGCAAGGGTTTTTTAGGTCGAACTGTCATCTGCTCTGTTATTTTTTGGGGACAACTGAGAAAGACCACAGGCATGACCTAGCTCAATTTTAGTTTGGGTAGCCTGGGCACCAGTAGGAGTTGTGTTGCAGTTGTGTAGGCGACTTGTAAAAGTCACTGGATATCACAGCAAATGTTTGGATAAATGATACATACCCCTTAAGGAGGTCCTTGCTGCGTTGTTCTTGGAGGCAAACAAAGGCTGTTTGTTCTACCTGTGCCAGTTTGTCCTCTTTGTAACGCAGTCATAGTGAGTAGGTCCAGGAGTATGACAGGTAACTATTTTATTGATGTTTGTTTAGTTATGAAAAAGGCCAGAGATGGCGACATTTCCTTAAATTTTGTTTTTCCTCAAAACAGGCACTGGTGGATTCACTCCAGATATTTGAAAGGAAGTTGGTGTGATTTTTTTCTGAATTCATATTGCAGCTTGTCTGCAGAGTGCTCAATTTTCACAGATATGAAAGAAAAACCAGATGAGTAGTAACAAAGTGGAAAGTTTTAGTTACTTTTTAATGAATGATTTTAAAAAATCAGTCTTTGATATATTTAAGATTAATATTTTAAGGATTATTTCTCAATCTGTCTATCAACCAATTGAATTTATTTTAATGGGGAAAAAAATGTTTTGTTCATGTAATTTTATAACTTGGGAAACTGACATCTGAGTTATACTTTTTTAGTTGATGCTTTTCTTTATTCTTTCGTTGCACAGATAACAAATGTACTGAAAAAGTACACAGTGAAGCTGGAGGCAATTTCCTTCTTCTTGGCAGCTGATATTCACAAGCTCATCAACGACGAGGCCACGGTAAATGTTTTGTCTGGGGCAAGATAGCAATCTGAATATTCCCAGAATGTCTTTTTTTTTTCTCCCAGTTGAAATTCGTTTTTTCTACTTATCAATCACTGGCATATAAAAAAATATTCTGCAAAAGAGAAACTCCTTTATCATTTGTATTCTTTTCTCCCTCCTTTCACATAGAGGAGACAATTTATGGGTTTTTTTACGTTGTATGCTGATAAAATACTCCTGATTTTATTTTTTAATATGCAGAATATAAACCAAGCCCTGCTGGGTAATGAGAGGGCAACTGCCAAGCTGCTCTTTAATCTAATGAAATCAGAGCTTGAGAAGGAAGAATCACATAAATTGAAATGGCAAGAGAGAGTCAAGGACTGGAAGCTCATCCAAAAGAACCGTGTAATTCAGAGTTTCAGGTCAGAAATTTGACAGTCATATTTTGGAGAATGAATAACACAAAGTGACTAGTGTTCAGTTGTGTTTTCTATAAACAGTACTGTTTTATCACTTTTTCATTAAACATATGATACATATCACATAGGATAGCACATATATCACATTTCCATTATACATATCATTTTTCCATCCTACAGAGAATTTATGGCAAGTGAAGAAATACAGAATCCTCCAGCTGTAAAAACAGAAATGGAAAATCTGATAAAGGAGCAGACTGTACTCAGTGAGCGGAGACTGGGGGTTTTGCAGCACGTTGGGTATGGCAAAAGAGAAACAGAATTCTTTCTGGAGTTAATAGGGGACTTGGCTACGAAATGCACTTTGCTTTCTGTCAATCTGTGATTGTAGAGTTCAGAAGTAGGCAGGTCCTAAACTTTTTTTTGGTAAAGCTCTTTTTAATGGAAAAAATGCATTCCTGCATTTTTAGTGCACCAGCTACACTAAATAGGGGATGATGGAGAGCTAGAAATGCAGGAGTGCAAAAGTAAATCTTAACTAATATTTGAAACATGGTATAAATGAGCAGACAAGGATGGGTAGAGAATTACAAGTTGGTGCTTTAGTCAAGGCATTGTTTCTGCACAGGATTTCATTTGTGTAATAAATTACGGAAGAATCTGGATAGAAATCTGTCTATGTTTGAATATCCATCCTGACAACAAGCATTTTTGGATGCAAGGCATTACAACATTTACAGCTTTTCTTTTAGAATGATGTAGCAGTTCGTTTGGATACATGTCCGGAATAAAGACAAGTGCCAAAAAATACTCAAACACACAAAATATCTTTATTACAGTGAGAATAAAAGTAATAATGATAAACTTAGCAAGAGGAATTAAAAACCTAAAAAAGGATACAGAGTAACTACCTTATTGGGTGGCATTAAAACAAATACTACGAACAGCATTTAATACAGTATTAACTAGTGAAAAAGGGAATACCCAAAAAAAAAGGATCTTAACACAATATTATGGATAACCCAATATTGGTTAGTAAAAAGGGAAACTAAGGAAAAAAAAAACCAACTATAAACATAAAAGGGGAATTAAAGGAGCACTAAA